AATGAAAAAAAGGGGGGCACGACGGCAGCTCGGAGCATCGCTACGTGGCCTCCAGCTGAGACATCTACGTAGAAAAATACGAGGAAACTAAAATAATGAAATAAAGTTGATGGTTATACTTGGGACATGTTAGAAGAAAAGGATAAGACTTGACTAATGAAATAGTTTAGACACTCGAATCATGCTTACTAACTAGTTATTAGACATTGATACAATACCTGATGTATGAAAATTACAAGAAAATAGTTAGACGCTATGGTTGTTACCCCAAACTGATAACATATCTCAATGGTACTTGGTTGATAAATTTACAAGAAAAAATTGGTCAAAACATGGACTAATAATGTATTGCGTTTTGGTAACACGTCGACTAACTAGTATTTCATGATTTAAGTCTGCATTTTATAATTGATTGTTGATACTTTCAGTCATTAATATTGCAATTGCTGATGTCTACGAATAGGGTGGAGAGTGCTAACAATGCGTTTAAGGGTTGGTTGAATTTTTCTACATGGGTTGTTAATTAACACCGTGCAAGATCAGTTGGATTCGGGAGTTGAGCTTCAAATTAAGATTAAGGTGGAAATTTTGAAATCATGCACAATCCAAAAGCACAAATCAGCGTATTTAGTATTTCAAATGTAACATTCCACGTCTACGATAATTAACAAATCATATGTTCGTTTAGTTGTTTAAAGTTTTATTCATGTGATAACCAATGAAAATTTCATAAGATATGCATTAGTCCGAAATCATTTTCAGAAATATTTGAATTGATCATATTAGCTAATGTTAAATCTAGGCATGAAGCATATTTGTTTCATTTTACTAAAACTCATTCATCGGAAGCAAATGAAAATTTTAGCTCATATGCATGAATATCAATTTTGAATAAAATTATATTTTATTTTAAGAAAATAAAATCATATGGATGGAAAGTGATCTCACAAAGAAAAGGGTAAATAGCACTTAACCCCCTTGTGGTTTGGACATTTTGCACATGACTCCCTTATGGTATGGAATTAGGCGCATAACCCCCTTGAGGTTTGATGGAGGCAGCTTATGTTAACTCCACTAACAGAAAACTGAAAAAGACTAAATTACCCCTAATTCTACATATTAATTATGATTATTTAATTTTTTTATTTAATATATTATATTATAATTGTTATCCAATTTTAATTTTTTAAGTAACAAAGTCTTGGATTTTTTTATTCTTTTGCAAAAATCTAAAAAAAACATTTCTCTAAAGTTGAAATGAACATTAAATTTTAAAAAAATCTAATGCTAAAAGAATAAAATTAATTTCTTGACTTTCGAATCAAATCACAAATTGTTCGAAAAATATCACTTCAGTTTAATCCAAATAGAAGAATAATTTAAAAAGAAAAGAAAAATAGAAAGTAATAGGATATTTTGGTCTTTTGCAAGAATTAGTTTAACCTTTTTCTACATACACTCTCTTTTTTGGAGAGTGAGCTTCACTTGCCGTTAAATTGGATGGAAAATATAACGGAAGCTACCTCCATCTAACCCCAAGGGGGTTATGTGCCTAATTCCATACCAGAACCAAAATGTCCAAACCACAAGGGGGTTAAGTCCTATTTACCCAAAAAAAAAGTAGGAAATGGTGAAGGAAATAATAAAGCGGGGATAGAATCATAAAAATGAAAATGGTTTTGGTACCTTTGTACCCTCAAGCCGATGTTAGATTTTGTAGAACGGTTCCGACAACTCAAAGCTTAGATCAGCCTTACATCATTAAAACTTAAAAAACTAAAAAAATAAAAAAAAAAAAAAAATTGAAAACAAACACACGAGAGAGAGAGAGACTGAGACGCGTTTTTTTCTCAGCAGGAAAAAAAAAAAGAAAGGGAAAAAAAGAAATAAGAACAAAGGAGAAACAAGGAATGTGAATATTCGATAAAAAAAAAAATTTAACGCGGTTTCTTGTTCAAAGTCTCCATCTCTGCCTTTTCTCCTCCTTTGTCAATTTCGAACCCGCCTTTTTCCTCAATTCATCCTTGATCGTCGTCACATATCTTAGAATAACCGGCCAATTTCTCGTAATAATTGAATTTGAATGGGGTGTTGCAGTAGCAAGAGCGTTGATTCCAAAGCGAGCCGCGTTGCTCGGTGGCGCTCCACCGGCATCGTGGCCTTGCGCGACTCTAAATTAAAGGCATCATTTTTTTTCCCATTACGTTTTTATGCCGATTTAGTTTATGGGCTTGCGTTGTGTCTTTTTCTTTTTTTTTTCCTCACCTTCAGAATTTTGTTCTGTCTTGATTGAAGCATATTAGTCATCAGGGCCGGTCCGGCGTATTTGGGGGCCCGGGGCGAGAATATAATTGTTCGGTAATTCGGGGGCAACGTCCGGATTTTTTTTTCCGCATTAATAAATAATATAAGAAATAAAAAAATAATAAGAGTAAAAACATTGAAAAAAACTAGAAGAATAATTTCTTTTAACAATAAAATATTTTTTGCACATAAAAATATATAATATATATATAATAAAAAACTTAAAATTTGGGCCCCCTATGAAATTGGGCCCTGGGCGTGGGCCCTGCTCGCCCCACCCCAGGGCCGGCCCTGTTAGTCATTCATTTGATGGTACAACTCAAAATTGTGTACTGAGAATTGTCATTACTGTACCGTTAGGAAAAGTGTGACAGTATGTAGTTAGACTTGGGAAGTTGATGATTTTAGATTGTGTAGTTTCTGATAATCATGTTCATATATCTGTTTATGCTGAATGGATTTTTATTTTTTTTTCCCTTTCCGTAGACATTTCCAGATGATGTTCTTGATTTAGAAAGAGCAGTGCGCACGCTTGATTTGACGCACAACAAGTTAGGTAATGCTCTTTTTCATATCTGAAGCATTTGATTTGTCTTTATCTAAAAGCATGTCTTTTTCTCTTACTTCAATATCTATGGATGAACTCGTAAAATACTTCCAACTCGAGTAAAGGTTCATATCTGCACTTATTTTCCCTGTGCCACACAATTAACAAAGTTTAAATGCAGAAATTCAGAAATAGAATGTGAATTTCTTTGCTCATCTTTGTGCTTTTCACTTCCCTAATATATATTTATTTTACCTTGCAGTGGAAATCCCCATGGAGATCAGCAAATTGATTAACTTACAGCGGTTGGTAAGAATTTCTCACTACAGTTTTTTCTGCCTTGCTATTATTTTACAGCTTATTAAATGTGCATCGTCGATACTCTAAGTGAAGCAGATATTTGTTTTTAAACATATGCATGCATTATTGTTTTGATATGTAACAATTTGATCATTCCAAAATGTTGAAACATATAGTATTTTGCTGATGATTTTTGCATGAGTTTGTTGTGTGGATGATTGCATAGCTTATCCGCTTTGAAACACATCGAAATTCTATGTCACATAGTGTAGGAGTTTACCGAAAGAAGTAGACTTAACATGTCTATATTTGGTAAAATAATATTAACAGTTCTACAGAACGGATTAATTAAAAACAAAAAAAAAATGTCATCCACACTTCTTATCAAGGAAAAAAGGATTTACTAACAGTCAGTATTAGATTTTGAATAATTCCAAGTTAAAGAAGTTCAACCATACGAACCACTACTTCTAATAGATATATGAGTTTTTTGAGCTTGTTTGCTGAAATAAATTATTCTTGCAAGAGATTGGAATTTGAATGACTACTAGAGGTTATTCATAATATACTGAAAATGGGTGTTTTTATGTCTAAAGAGTGCTCAATATTTACAATTTCTCAATTTTTTTCCAAAACGAATATTATTTCTGTGGATGTATCTTGTGATACTGTATGAGAGGGAGTGTGATTGGGGAATTTTTGGTCAACATTATACTTTCAATAAGCTGACCTGATCTAATCAGTATGAATCATATATACCCAGGCATCGTAACTATACTCGGGCGTAAGTGAGATATGAAGGATTACAGAGTTTTACTCTGAAAAGTGATAAATAGCAGTTGGGATTTTGAATTGGCATAAAAGATCACAATAGCTAGTTCTTCTATTGTTTCTGTTGTTATTATGACTGATTTTGTGCATTTTGCCGTTGATAGTAGGAGTGTTTCCTTTGAAGGTTATGCTAATATTTATTATACTTAAAGCGATCCTTTCTTACAGATTTTAGCCGATAATGTTATTGATCGTCTTCCGATGAACTTGGGAAAGCTTCAGTCTTTAAAAGCTATGACACTTGATGGAAATCGAGTTACTACATTACCTGATGAATGTAAGTTCCCTCTTAGTATTGTCTTGCTGAATGATGTGGTATATGTCAGGATTTTTTAGATCAAATCTTGTGTCCTAGTTTTTGATGAATTTATTTTAATGTTCAGTGGGTCAGTTGGTTAAACTGGAGAGGCTATCGATATCTGGAAATTTGTTACTCAGCCTGCCTGAAACTATAGGGAGCTTGCGCAATGTGAGTAACTGACGTGTTTCATTCAGAAACTAGAGGCATGGCATCGATAAACTTGATATGGTTATATAGTTATAATTACACTTTCACATACCATTTGTAAGAAATGCGAGTTATTAGTTTTCTCACATTGATTTTCTAGATAACTCATATTATTGTATTGTAATCATGACCAAATGAAATTTGATCCTCTAAGCAATAAGCATGCTTTCTGTACATATTATGGCTTGCCATTCGAATATCCACTTTTATTACTTGCTTAAAATTATTATAAAAAAAATATAAACTGAATAAAGAATTATGTGGGCATGTTACAGGCAGATGAAAACCAATGTGGCTCAATCGAATACATGAAAATGTAACGATTCTTATTTTTTCTTAACATCTAATTGGTGTTAGTCTGCGAAGAATTTTAATTTCAAATGTCAACCGCAATCTTAGTCTGTGATGTAACGAATGGATCTGTCTATAGATACTAAAATGTCTTACAATAGTTGTTCGGACTTGGTACAATTGGACATCTAGCTAAAACTGCGTAGTAAAATCTGTAAATAAAAATTTAGTGAAAGTAATGCCACGTGTATCTTTATTTAATATAAAATATGTTGGATAATGCATGACAGGGCACTTTAACACCTCGAAACTGAAGATGTAAATTCGTCACATATATAATTGAAATTGAAAATCATAAAGAAGTATGTTATTGTGCTGATTATGCGACTTAGTGTGTCAAAATGCTCCATCAAGTGATTGGGTGATTTTAGAATACGTTGCTGTAATGGGCTTTGGATCTATTATTTTGACGTCCATCATATTCTGTATCATACTCCATTAGTTAAGTTGATGAAGCCATTTGAAATTGGGTTTGCAGTTGGTTCTGTTAAATGTGTCAAACAACAAAATAAAGTCTCTTCCAGAGTCAATCGGTAGTTGCTTCTCTTTGGAGGAAATTCAAGCTAATGGTACGTACGTTCAGATCTTTTCTTTGTCTCAGTTATCACTTTATTTTTTGCAAATTCTTCCTTTTTGGGAATAGTAGTTTCACCATTTATTTTGCGTCTAAATTTAGGTGGGTTAGTAGATTCTTCCTTTGGTTTTTGAAGTTTAGTTGGCCGGTTATTTCGCACTGCAAGTGTATGATTGTCCAGTGATACATCTTTTTTTTCCACCGCTTGTGTTTGTATATTTATATATAGTTTGGTATTATCAAGTTTACTGAAGAAACCTAAGAACCGTAAGAATGCAATTGTTATCTGTCTTAATTCTGATTAACAACATAGTAGATTATAAAGTCATGTGACCTGAATGAAGAGGACGTTTTCATCTGACTGTCCTATGACCTGCTCTTTCAGATTCATAACTTTTTGAAGCAGGATGTAATGTCCTATGATTGGGTTTTGTACTTGTACAATCCTTGTATTGTGTAATATTTGTTAGCATTGTGTGTAATCATAGGGTTGCATTTGAGCTAAACATCTTTCATATGCTTGATTAAAATCCGGGCCTATTTTTAATCCTAATTTGATTACATTGTCTATCTCATGTCTAATACTAATTCCAAAACAAGGACTATGTGGATTGTTTTTTTTAAACAGTTCCATTACCTCATAATCTTCAATAGTAGCATGAGGAGTAACTTGGTAGTTTCATTAGGAAGATCTTAATGTTATATTTGATCAATGCTTTTTGGTTAAGGACCGAATAAGCAGCAGAGAGGCATTAATATTTATTTACAGGAAATCGACTGCTGTTCGCTATAAATACTACATTGATCTTTGTCACCAGGAAAACCGCTTTCTTTGTTATTTGAAAATTATCTACACCATTCATCGGGCCTCAGTATGCAATTTTTGTTTTTTCTTTGATTTATATTTAGGTGATGTTAATCATTTCTTTTATCTTAGCTTTCCCTTTGTCACTCTGTAATCTGTATTCTGAATATTCTGTGCAGAAAATTCTATCGAAGAGCTTCCATCATCAGTTTGCAATCTGGTTCATCTAAAGTCACTCTGCTTAGACAATAACAATGTGAAGCAGGTTTTACTCTCATCTAGACTTCTTGTCATCTGATACCAGTCTCTTTAATGCGTTTTATAATTCTTAAATGATTATAAAAATAAAAAAATTTAATTTCAGGGAGTAGTGATTTTTACTTTTTTATTTTCAAGTCTTCAGTTGCTCGTGAAATCTGTCGATTCTACCAAAGTATATGTATATGTGAGGAGATGGAGAGTCTATTGGAGATATTTCTATTTAGACAATGTAGCGTGGATTTATTCTTGCAAATCTTTATTGGCAATTACTAGGAAATTAATCGCTAGCTTATGTTGCTATACTTGAGATCTTTTTTTTCTTTTTTCTTTTTTTGTCATTCTATTGAAAGAAAAAAAAAATCTTCAATCTTGAGAATTTGATATTCCAGTTTGCTGATTTACTTACTTGTTATAAATGGATTTGGGTAATTGATGGCACCTTCTAAAGAGTGAGGCGGCCTCACAAAGTATTTGAACGAATTATGGTGCATTGACTGATGAAAATTTGAATTTTAATTGAAGCGAGTTAAAACTGTTGATGGTTTGGTTGGCCATAGAATTATCTATTCTATACAACATAAGATGAGTTATGATAGTGGTGGACAAGCATTATTTTTTATGATTACTGCCTAATTTATAAGCATCTCCTGAAGATTCTTTTCACACTTGTCATCCCTCAGACCTCCGTTGCTGATATTTCTTGAATTTCCATTAGCTACTTTTTGATTTATGTTCTATTAGTTTAAGGTTGTTCCTCATAGTTGCTTTTCATTTAGCTTCAGAAGCAAGCAGTATCACTGCATATTCGTCTGAATGTCTTTTTCCTTCACCACTGAATGCATTGATGTTTAATAACAGATACCTCCGAACTTATTGAAAGATTGCAAAAGTCTGCAGAGTATATCCCTCCATGGCAATCCCATTTCTATGGATTATTTTCAGCAGGTACATCTTTCGTCTTTCGTCTTTCGTTTTTCGTTTTTCGTTTTTCGTTTTTTGCACGTAAATTATACAGTATCGAACAATCATTTTTAGTCTAAAAGCACACCATTATCCCCTTCTTTGTCTCCTAAATTCAGATGGAAGGATTTGAAGAATTTGAAGGTCGGAGGAAACGCAAGTTTGATAAACAGATAGATTCCAATGTGATGATTAACTCAAAAGGCCTTGATGAGGGTGTTGATCTCTGAATCCTTTGCAAACTACATAATTTTGTAAGGCTTTTCTCTAAGCTAATTAATTTATTTGCAACCATATGCGCTATTTTTTTGTTACAGAAAATGTTATTTGTTTTCTCCGAGGTTCTTTCCTAGACATGCTGCCACAATGTTGAGAATATCAAACCGGGACAAGTTAATATTAAGTTTGTTTGTTTGTTGCAGTTTGTGGGGACGGAGAATCAAGACATTGGGATGTAATTAAATAGTGGAATTGTTTAGCCAATGCTGCTGCAGATTCATTTTTTGGCGTTACAAACAGTCACATTTTGATTGTCTAAGAACTTGTAATTCTTCTACATTGTAAATGTCGGTTTTCTCCGTTTACAGTATTTTGTACTAAATGAAACGAGTAGATGGAACTTGTAAGCAGGTGTGATCTTGCAAGAAACCTTTTTCTCACATTATACTCGTTAAAATGTAAATAAAAAAATTATCACAGAAGAGTCATAGTGATGCACTTTGCAATTCTTTTTCGTCCATTCCGATCTGAATATTTTTGATTTTGGAATAATATTTTTTAGAGTAAAAAGCACTTTGTTACCCGAACAAATTTTTTTTTGCACGTCAACTTGTTAGTTTCTTGCACGGTGCCCAAAAATTGACCATGTGAGGCGATTTTCAACGGCAATGCTAAGCACGCATGAATCAAGTGAGTTTGGCAGGGACATTGAACATGCTGAAGCTGAAATATAGAACAGAAAATGGTGATCTGAAAATAGAACTGGAGGGCTCACAAAAGCCACAAGCTGAACTGAGAAATAAATTGAAAGCCATGAATGTAGAGAGAGCTTCTGCACTGGGAGAGAGAGGAGTACTGAAGACTGAGAATCATTAATGTCCAGGTACAACATGAGAAAGACACCGTACAGTAGGGCTGTTCACTCGGTCGGTAAACCGACCGAGCCGCCGAACCGAAAATTCGGTTCAGTATTCGGTAATTTTTTTTTTGAATTCCGGATTCCGGTATGGTATAAGGTATTGATTCCCGGTACCATACCGTACCGAACACCGGATTATTTAATATATATTTATTTTTGTTCTTTTAATTTAAATCCTTTAAGTTTTTACAAAAATATAAAATACTTATAGATTGATAATTTATTCCATTATTTACAAATTAACTTATATTGATAATTATCTTTTTGTTTTTAGGATCGATTATTGGAATTTGAATGTCAAATTCAAGAATTATTTTGTTTGAATTGTTTTTTTACCTTTTCCAAAATAAGAAAATATATTTCGGTTTTACTGGTACCGAAACGTACAATACCGAATATTTCGGTAAAAACTCGTACCTAACCGAATAGTTCAGTTCGATAAACGGTACAAAATTTTGAAGTACGGTACGGTATGGTTTTACCGTGTGAACACCCCTACCATAGAGTTGAAATTGGGAGAATTCTCCAAACCGAAATCAGCAGAAAACGAAATAGCTAAGCTAATTGAAACGCAAAAGGCGTGTTTGAAGAGAAGAAGTCTAGTCTTTCTTTACAGATTTCACAGTTTGAAGATGATGTATGTTTCTTGGGTTCAACCATGAAATACGTGTTATGGTCGGGGAAAAAGAATAACAAAAACTATTCAAAACACACAAGCCTAATCCTGTGTTTTTTTCTTCCTAGTGAAGACGCGTTTGACAGGTGGTCGTCCTTCTTCTGACGTGGTAGGAGGAGGTGGTGGTGGGGCATTCGACGAGCTAGGACCAGGTGGTGGTGGGTCATCCGGCTCGATCAATCTGACAATGTTATTTAGTGTCCCCCACATTTGGCGTCGGAAGGCGCAAGTCCCCGTACCTCGCTAAGTGTACCCTTCACCAACTCGAGAATTTGCAAAACTTGGGCCTTGCTATCAGGACCACTTGGTCGAGGTCGAGACGTCTGGGGTCGAGGTGCATGGACTTCATTAGTACTCAACTGCAACAAGCATCGCGACCGGAACCAATCCATGTCGGCAAAGTGTCCGCCTCCCCGAGTTCAACTTCCACGGACCTTGACTCCTCGTCCAAATAGAACTCCTCCCAACGATCGGAGAATCGTTCGCCATATGCGACGAATACCGAGTATTGGACAGGTTGCCCTTTGTTAGTGAGTTTTTTGTACATCGCCTTTGACATGTACGGGCGACCCGGAATAAGTTGGACCCGATTGAACTGCCTCAACACTCTGTCCGGATGATATGCCTCGTAGTGGTCCATGCAGCATATCATCCCACTGAACCAAGCAGAGTCGAGATGGGGAAGCGGTCACGAAGAGCCGTGTATGGTGACCATATAACCTGATTACAAACATTTAGAAACTTTCCACAAGTGGTATTAACAAATTAATATTAAATATATTTTACCTGCTCGGGTATGAGGTCATCTAACCGAGATCTCAAGTATACGGCTCGCTCTGGCGTAGAAGCAGTCTTTGACAGAGGTTCCCATCGGCTGGCTAATGGCCCCATGTACCCCGTCTTCAATGTGACACCCACCAAATATGGAAAGTGCTCGTAAATCCATGATTGGAAGAGCGTCAGCCAGCCAGCTATCGAGTTTGTTGAATTTTCCGAGGCTAACGATAACTCCTCATACAACCTGCAAAGACATGCAGTGCCCCAAGCGTACTCCCCGACACTATCTAAATCTCGGACGAGATTTAGATACTCCACGCTCACCATATTGCCGGTCTTGTCGCACAATATGGTAGACCCCAACAGGAATAACAAATACGCCCGAATGGCGTAAGTCCTCTTCAGTACACTGTCTCTCCCGGTCATCTTACAAAATTTGGCCTTCAACCACTCTAGCTTCACGGCTTTTCTCTTATCCACGTCTTCTGGGTACTCCCCCAAGCAATCGAGCATCAACTTACGGGCAGGTGGGGAATTTCGTGTGAGACGGTCGCAGGATACTGTACGTCCAACCACTGGCAACCCGACTAATGTGGCCCTGGAGCTCTATCAAAGACTGCCTTCAATCGTTTAGTTTTAGCATCTTTCCAACGACCGTTAGCAGTCTCATTGAACCATTTTTTTGTAGCCTCATTTTCAGGAAGTTTCCTAGTTTCCTAAATAAAATAAAAATATATACAATTGAAATGAAACATAAAATTAAATAACTTAAATAAAATAAAAATTACATACAAAGACCTTAAACGCTTTCCACAGTCCCTCGACACGGCCCATTTTTTTGTGGTTAGGCCAAGAAATACATGAATCAAAATTATCCCAATGCGTAACCTCGTTACTAATAGCCACCGCCAACTTGTACCTCCCAGGTGCAACGGGAATATCCTTGTCGTCAAACTCCAAATCAACCACGTCAGTACCTGTAGACTCGGTACCTATATGATCAACAGAAATATCTTCCTCCGACATCGCTCGCCTGAGAAAAGAAATAAGATATACATAGACAAAAATAAAATGAACACAATACTTATAACATGCATTATATATGGCAATAAATATGAAACATAATTTATATAACAAGTAAATTATAATAAAAAAAATAAAATGATCACATAAACAAAAGTATATTACAAGTAAATTACAATCAACTAACATTTAATCAACAAAATAATCCCTCGCTCTTCCATATCATCTATAATATTTATGTCATGGTTTATAGGAAGTATCTCATAGCATTCATCTTCAACTGCAGTAGGATCATCAGGACTCAAGGCAAAGTTGTCCCTTGGTTTAATAACAATAGGAACTTTCCATGGTTTATCTTGCGGATCCTCAACGTAGAATGCTTGCAATACTTGACATGGCATAACAAAAGGACTTGTTTTTATATCTGGTTTTGTTAAGTTCACAAGTGTAAATCCCAAACCATCCGTCTTATTCATGCGAATATTAGCCCAATCACACTCGAACAAAACCACCTTTTTTGTACCTACAGCGAATGAAAGTTCAATGATGTCTTTTATTACGCCGTAGTACCCTACATCTTCTTCTTTCGGAGATTTATCCTTTGAGCTTGCGAAACTAGTAGTCTTTGCTTTGACAAAAACACCACTATTTTGAGTTAAAAGAGACTCTTCAGATGATTTTGTGCGGAACATAAATCCTTGCACTTTAAATCTCTTTAAAGTCTTCACTCTAAATTGAGGTGAACAAGCTAAGGCTTTCAGATCTTCAGACAATTCACTTTTTCCTTGCACCTATTTCGTTATCAATTAATTATTACTACTTTGTTCAAAACAATTTGCAAAGGAAGTTCAAGTCAAATCAAACACTTACATAGGATTGAAACCAATGACGAAATTCTTTTTCTTGTAATTGCTGAATGCGCCATTGGTATGCATGGTCACTTGTCGAGATTTTATTCTTAATGGTCTCGAAATGCCCCCTAAAAGGATTTGTGTAATTTTTTAAGTGGAAATCAATTGAAGATAGTAGTAACTCAAAATATTAGCAAGTCACTTACTCAATGTAAGGTTGAACTTCATATGAGTTAAAAAGACAATAGGTGTGCGCCTTTTCCATTTCATCATAACTAAGCGTTCTGTACTTAGGTCGCACTTCATTGCCTTGTTTGTCATTGTCACAAATATTCATAGAAATGGGGAAAAGGGGATTAGGGCCTGACTTCAAATTCATTTTTTTGCGACGATTCCTATAAAATCGTCGCCAAAAAAGATTTCAAACGAATCTTGTAGCGACGTTTTCAGGCCTTTCGTCGCTAACCAAAAAAAAATTAATTAGACTTGCGAGGTTTCTGTAAGAAACGTCGCTATAGAAAAGCGAGATTTTTTCTATAATTATTTTGGCGACGATTAAGACACTATCGTCGCCAATAATAAATATAATTCTTTTAAAAAAGTATTTGTCTTGCGACGAATCCACTTTATTCGTCGCTACAAATAAATATAATTTATTATTTCCTCTTTATTACGCTACGTTTATCCTTATTCGTCGCCAAACCAATAATTTTTTCTTTTCACAATTGCACTAGCGACGTATACGTAATATTCGTCGCTAAGGTA